CCGACTCGGCAGCATGAGTCAGCAGCGGCCGGCGAGGAAGCCGCCCAGCCTCCTCGTGGACCCGGCGGAGGAGACGGTTCGCCGCCGCTGCCGAGACCCCATCAACGTGGAGGGCCTGCTGGTAAGCGGGCCTTGTGTCTGAGCCCCCCGGGCGGGGCGGGGGTCGCCCGGGCCCCTCCTCCGCGCCATGTCCGCAAGCCCGACTGGCGGCCGCCTTGGCTGCCACCTCCTCCTGGGCGGGGCGCCACCCGTCGCGTGCAGCGGACCACGCTCTCCCGCCTTCTGCTCTCAGCACCGGCTCGAAAACATGTTATCAGCCTATGGCTTTGACCTCGTGCTACAGAGCGCTGTTGGGGAAAACTGCTCAACTTTTCGTTAGAAAGTCAGTGTCCCCACCCCATGCCGCCCCACTGGACCTCGGTGTGTCTCTGCAGGCTGTCATTGGTTCTCTTCTGCCTCCTCTCCACGCTTCCCATTTCCCACCTGGCAGTTCCCCATTCAGCAGATGATCTCCCGCCCTGTTTGACAGAGAAGAGGGGAGATTTGGCTCCCTTCCTACAAAAGGTTAATTCCTCTACCCTTGCTCTAGACTAGATGCTGTATGCCCCGTAGTTCTCAGGACCCTTAAAGAATCCATCCTCTTCCATTTCTCCCCACATTTTCAACTTCTCTGCAGGTTTCTTGCCGTAACTGGTAATAACATTTACTGAAGTCGTTATACCCAGGCCCCATGCCAGGTAATTGATAAGCATTATGTCATTTAATCCCTCACAGCAGTTGTCAGAACCGACTCGCAGATGCTAAGTGCTTGCGCCTGGTTAGATAGTAAGTGGAGAAGCCTGGATTTAACCTCAGTGTCTGAGTCCAGATGATAAATTCTTGACTACTTAAACTGTATCCTAAGTCCATCCCCATCTTTAAAATCCCTCATTTAATCTCATATCCCCTCCTATCTATGAAGGTACTTCAAGAAGTTCGTGGAAACATTTATCTTTTAATTCTATTTTTCCACGAACTTTTTGAAGTGCTCTGGTACTGGATCTCTTCCCCTCCACGGCTCTTGAAAAAGTTGTTAGCGCTCACTGTGTCGACTTGTTCATTACCAGTCAACCCACTGCTGGGGACTTCTTTGCCCTAAGCACTCTTGTAAAGCTGTTTTAACCAAGGTCACCAATAATCTTGTCAATTTCAGCAGCTGTTTCACTTAAGTAGTTTTGACACCCACTCTTGTTGGAAACACTCTCTGTTGAGTGTCTTTGACACCACATCTGCTTATCTGGTCTGTTCTTGTCTTCTCCCTCTTTCTATTCCTTACACATTGGTATTATTCGAGGTTCTCTTCTACCTTCTCTACACATTCTTCATGTGGAAGGTCATTCATTACTCCCATGACTTCTGTCACCATCTGTGTTGGTACCATCTGTATTGGTGATCTTAATGTTTGAGAACTTGATAAAAACTCTAAACTCCCACTGTGAAAAAAAACACTTAACTTCACATGTAATATCAGAAGATATCCACATCCCTCGAAGTCTTAGATATTCTTATCTACTCTGGTAGTTTCAGTTACTGTGCCATAATAACTTCCGAATCTATAAATCCAGCTCAGAGCTTTCCAACTGTCCACTAGACGTCCCTGCTTAGATCTCAAACTCATAAACTGTATACAAAATTGAATTGTCATCTTGCATGAACAAGCAACTTCTTTGCCATATCCTATCTTAAATGGAACCACACTCACCATGTTCAGGCCAATGTCCTAGACATCATCCTTGTCCTCTCCCTTTTCCAAACTGACCTCCTCCAGCCCCCCCAATCTAATTAAAATTAACCACCAATACCTGCCTCTTCTATCCACCATCTGCCTTTCAGAATGTTGCAATGCCTTCCTAAACAGTTGTCCTTCTAGGCTTGCCCCTCACTTTTGATATAACTAAGGATCTTTCTAAGGTGTATTTTTAATTATAGCATTTGACTGAAAGAGTCTATCATGGTCCTAGTTCTCTCAGGATTGAGTAGAAACTTCTTAACATAATCAGGCCCCTGGGTTTACCTTTTCTGAACTGCTTATAGTTGCAAAATTTTCCATATTTCCGTATTTTATTACTCCCTCCTCCCCCATCATCATATTTGCTGTTTTTTCTGCCTGGGCTGAGCCCCCTGCATACCTTCACTCCCCCTTCCAAAAAAAGCCTTTTTAAAAAAACACGTTTCCTTGTTACCCGCTGTGTGTTTCAGGTCTAGATTTATAGGTCACTTGTTGAAGAGCCTTCGCCAACCTCTCAAGACTAGATTGGGCACACTCTGTACTCCTGAAGCATTCTGTGCGTAATTACCCCTCTCTGCAATGTGTCTCTTAGGTCTCTGAGTGCAGCAACTCTGTCCGTTTCATTGATATATCCCTGCGCATTTGGTGCCTCTCACAAAAAGATTCGGCAAATAGTTATTGAGTGAATGAAATAGGTACTCTGTAATGAGTGTAGGAGTGTTTATTTTCCTGCCTGTAAAGTGGTGATTTGAACGTCTGTCTCAGTGTTTTTTAATTGGCTAATGATTGCAATTATTTAATAATCCGTGTGTTGCTGTGCAAAGATTAATTATGTATCTTGTTGAGTGTTTGTTGCCTGGATGAGTGGCTTAAAAGCTGTCTAGAATTTTGAGAAAGGAGAGAATAGTACAGTTTGGGAGGAGTGGAACTTAATCTGCACATTGAAAAATAGAATTTGAGTGGGTGTGGAGAATGTAGTCACCTTGGAGAAAAGTATCTTTCCAAAGAGCTCTCTAAGTGATATTGCTCCCCAAAACAGAGAGCTGGTACAGAGAGGCATCTATAGAGAAATTTTTAACCGATTCAGAGGCAGTGCTTAGAATTTCAGTCCCTAAAGTTTACCTTTTTTTTTTTCTTCCACCTTTGAAGAAGCTTCTGAGGTCATTTCAAGCCACAGCCACAAATGATAGGAGCAAAGGATTGGCATGCTGTCCTTTGAGATCTCATGTTTAAAAGTATAGGTCTTTAGATGTGGGATTTGGAGCAATAGTGAAATAGCTTGGAACTTGAAAAAATGTGCTGACTTGCCCATCAAGATCTGCTGGTTCCTAGAAAGCTGTGTGTCCTGACAAGACACTGAGATCATCCTTAGTGATGTTCAGTTTAAAGGCTTCGGACTTCTCCATTAGTTTTGTAGCCAAGATACAAACAGGAGATGTCTGTCTGTCTGTCTGTCTGTCTGTCTGTCTGTCTGTCTGTCTGTCTGTCTGTCTGTCTGTCTGTCTGTCTGTCTGTCTGTCTGTCTGTCTGTCTGTCTGTCTGTCTGTCTGTCTGTCTGTCTGTCTGTCTGTCTGTCTGTCTGTCTGTCTGTCTGTCTGTCTGTCTGTCTGTCTGTCTGTCTGTCTGTCTGTCTGTCTGTCTGTCTGTCTGTCTGTCTGTCTGTCTGTCTGTCTGTCTGTCTGTCTGTCTGTCTGTCTGTCTGTCTGTCTGTCTGTCTGTCTGTCTGTCTGTCTGTCTGTCTGTCTGTCTGTCTGTCTGTCTGTCTGTCTGTCTGTCTGTCTGTCTGTCTGTCTGTCTGTCTGTTCGCTCAGCCAGTGAGCGGGAACCGGTCTGTGTGTGGGATCCGAACCCTCGGCGGGAGCGCCGCCGCGCTTCCCAAGCGGCGCACTATAGCAGTGCGCCACCGGGCCGGCCCTAAAACAAGTTTTTTTGTTATTTTTTTTAAATGATGACCAGTAAGGGGATCTTAACCCTTGACTTGGCGTTGTCAGCACCACACTCTCCCAAGTGAGCCACGGGCCGGCCCTTAAAATTTTTTTTATTTAATACCACAGTTTCTAGTTATCCACAGCATGCATTATTTTCCATTATTAGAAATGGTGCTGTTTTTACATTAATTATAATGGGAATGCATGACTGCCTATGAAAGTTTATGAGTAAATTTTTTGGATCCACATATACTTAAATAGCAAGAAATGAACGTTTGTTAGTTTAGACATAACCTCTCACCTCTTCTGAGCTTCCCACAGTCAGGGACAGTGCCTTAATCTTTGTATTCCTTTTTATCCCCACTACCTGAGGCAGCCAATAAATTAATATCTATTCATAATAAGTTATCATGTTCATATTCCCACCCTCCCTCAACTTTCCTTTCTCTCTTTACGACTTCTATACTTAGGAAAGCCCGTGCAGTTTGAGACATACATATCTGTGAACATTGTCAGATGTGATTACAGTTAGAGTAGATATAGTTTGGAAGGACTACCTTTCACACACCAAATTATTACCTCAGGGTGAAAAAAAAAAAAAAAACTTTATAAAGGGCTATTTATGTGCATTGTTGTTTTTAAATTACTAAGTTAAAATTTTATATCTTTTTTTTTCAGCCATCAAAAATAAGGATTAATTTAGAAGATAATGTACAGTATGTGTCCATGAGAAGTAAGTTGATTCCTGAGTAGGTTTAAGGTTTTGAGCTACTTCTGATTAAAATGACCTATTTTAACGTATATGAGTTGATGAGAAACTGAAACAAAATGTATTATTTGTACACTAAAATGTGAAGTTTGGAATTTTAATAAAACTCCTGAGGATGTGCGTTGAATAATGTGCACAAATGCTAGTTTATTCTCCATTGCTTCAGAAATATGTCATTTTAAAAATAGAACAGTCTGTATTTGAGGATATTTTCCTAAAATTCCTCCTGTGAGAGAAACTCATTGTTGCTGTCAGCAGAATTGAAGGCAGGTGGGCAGTAAGCCTGAGGACAATCTTTTGCCCCCCTGGTTTCCTTTAACTCCCTTTACTCTTTGCTTCTTGACCCCTGCTGTAGGTTAGTACTTAGGGTGTCAGTTAAGGGGTAGGATGTCAGTTTCTCTACTTCCCTATCCTTCTGGAAATCTTGACAATAAGTAGCCTCACCTTTAATTTCCTTTCAATTCGTCCTAATTTAGTGGATAGATAGTGTGTAGATGCTCAAATTATAAATCTTAGAAATATCAACACTTAATTTTTCCTCAGCCCCTGCCACAGTCTCACCCAAAGTTGGTCACCAAGTTTGGTCAGCTGTCCCTTTGAGGTGTTTCTTTCGCTGTCCAGTACCACCAGTTTATAATGACATCTAACATTTATTGAGCTCATACAGTGCCTGGTGCTTCAGTAGGCTCTTTGCATGGATTATCACAACAGCCCTTCAAAATAAAGGTACGGATTATAGTTCATATTTTATAAGTGGGTAAACTGAGGTCCAGAGGGGTTAAGTAGCTTGCTCAGAGTCATGGCTCAGTCTCATGCCTCTCTCACTCAGAAGCCCACAGTCTTTACCACTGTGTCCGATTGCTCCTTCTACTCCAGGCTCTCTCTCTCAAACAACGTCATGGGGTAGCCTTCTAAGTAGGCTGTCAGCTCCCGGGCTGTTCACTCCCAATCCTTTCCATTCTGCTACCAGGATGATTTTTTTTTTTTAAATACAGAAATGGAATTATGACTTAGTTCAACCTAAAGTCTCCAGTGATGCTCTGTTACCCATAGGGTAAACCCTGACTCCTCATATTTTTTATTTTATTTATTCGTATTCAGTTTATAAGCAACCTTATTCTTTTTATCCTTAAAAGAGACAAGGCAGTAGAGAATGTGTAGACAGAGTTTAGGAATGGGTTTCACAGAGAAGACATTTATATTATGAAATATGTACTTTTGTTCTTGGAGTGACCACTAGTGGTCTTTAAACTGTATATGACATTGTACAGGTTCTGAGTTAGGGCATTTCTGATTGAAGGTAGGATGGATGTTTCCTTTGAAGCTACTGACTGTGGTATGCTGTGGAAATAGAGGAAAAGAGAAATCATATATTCCACATCAAAGTGACAACTACGTTACTATAAAAATTATTTCCTATATAAACTAAGAACTTTTTCTTAGTATCAGGTTGGAAAAGATGAAAAGACTGATGATACTGAGTTCTGGCGAGTGCATGAGTGAAGCTCTCATACACTGTAAAATTGCTAAAGCCTGCGACATGGAGAGCAGAGTAACAGTACATATCAAAATTCCTTAAAAATAACCTTTTACTCAGCAACTCCACAGCTTGGAATTTATCTAAAGGAAACAGTGAAGGCTAATATAAAAAATAACCTTTTACTCAGCAACTCCACAGCTTGGAATTTATCTAAAGGAAACAGTGAAGGTTAATATAATGTAGCAACAAGGAGGTTCATTGAAGTATTATGCAAAATAGAAAAGTTGGGGACAGTCTGAACTTCCAGTATTGGGATAACAGTAGCAACTATTCCATGCAGTTAAATGTGCATTAAGAATGATGCTGAAATACATTCGTTGACATGTCAGGATGTCCACAACATTGAGTTAAAAGAGCATGTTACAAAATAGTATGTTCCTATTTTTGTTTTTAAAAGCTACATATGCATGCATTGACATACAAGTGTGTGTGTGTTGGGGGGCATTGTGTGTGAAAACCCAAGATTTATAGTAGGTGAGTGAGGAAAGTGAAGGGATTATTTTTGCCCTTCATTTGCTTATTTGTTAAGTTAATACAGGGTAATTTTAAGAGATAGATAAACCACTTTTTCTTGAGGTGTATTATAATTGCCCTAATAGAAGACCAGTTTGGGCTCTTTCAGAAACTTCATCAAACAGGGTTACACTACAACATGGATAGAAATGTTAAAAAAAAAAAAAAAAAAAAAAAGCCAATCTCTGCCTTTGTTTTCTAAAGAATTCCTTAGCTTGAAAACCAAATGACAAATTTAATTTTAAAAATCATTTCTAATTCTTTCCCTATGTGGTATGGATACAAATGTAAACTCATGACTTTGATAAGATGCAGTAGACTTCAAAAAATTCACATGTTTAGTGGAAACTGGTTACAAATTTCAAATACTTCTACATTTAAATCTAAAGCCCTTGTTTCAACCTAAGATAGGTCAATAAATTTTTTATCCAATTTCAGAAATTTACATCATAGAAATTCATTCTGATTTGGTTGGTGTTTAAGAATTTTTGTAGGTGACTATGCTTTCTAATTAAGAGTAAATAAGTGATTTTTTTTTAATGAGTTGAGATATGTTCTTCAAAATTTGACAAGTGTGTTTTGTTTTGTTTCCCAGAAGCTCTAAAAGTGAAGAGACCTCGTTTTGATGTATCACTGGTTTATTTAACTCGAAAATTTATGGATCTTGTCAGATCTGCTCCTGGGGGTATTCTCGACTTAAACAAGGTTGCAACAAAACTGGGAGTACGAAAACGAAGAGTATATGACATCACCAATGTCTTAGATGGAATCGACCTAGTTGAAAAGAAATCTAAGAACCATATTCGATGGATGTGAGTTGGTTTCAGACTTCTCGTGGCTTTTTTTTCCCTCCTTCTCATTAAGTTACAATTTTGTGCTTAAAACAATCTAGATATTAGTAGTGTTTTGACAATATAAAACAGAGTCAGATATGACTTCTTTTTAGAAAAGGATTCTGTAAAATTTTCTTGCATTATCCCACAAAGTACATAAATTTTTTCAAAGTATTTTCTAAGTTTCAGTTGATTATTGATATCAGGGGAAAATCTGTTAAGGTTGTAAAACAGTGGTTTCCATATAAACACATAGAAGCCCCCTTCGCCAGCAGTTGTACTTGAGTAGTTCTGGGGGAAGGCAGGAATCTACATGCTCAACAAGTACCGTAGGTGATTATGATACAGGTGGGCTGCTGATAGTACTTAGAAACACACTGCCCTGAATGTAAAAAAGAACTTCAGATTTAATGTCTAAACAGCAGTTGCTAACAACTTGACCTGCTAGGGAAGGATTTTATGGAAAGAAGACCTTAAGATATAGATGTAAATAAAGAGGGTGTGTGCGTGCATGTGTGCACGCACACACACATGAGCACTAAGAAAAAAGCTGTTAGAATAGGCAAGAATTTTGGATTAGAAAGAAACAGTTCTAGCGTGTAAGCACATGGGTATCTTTCGAGCAAACAAAAAAATCTACCAACAAAGATCATAAAATTACTATAAATAATCAACTTAGTTACTAGAGAAAAGGGATTCATAAAGGAGGTTATTTTTTTAATAGTACAGAAATACAGATTGAATTCTAATTTGAGCATTACTACTAAATGACATTTTTTAAAAACCCTTCAGATGTTCATATCAGATTGCATTCTGAATTACTAATTATAATCAGATTTTTTAAATTAGCAAGCAAAGGATAAAAAATAAAGGTAACAGCCTTTCCTCTATTTGTTTTCCATAAAGATTGAAGGAAAACAGTGAATATCAGTTGTTGCTTGGTCATAGGTTGGAGTAGACACTAATAATTAAAGAAAATACATTTTTTGAAATTAATGAATATGATCACTATATTCAAATAGAATGTGCATAGTAGGGAAAAATACACTCATAAAATTTTAGCAGAGGTACTGTCATTTAGCCAGCACTCCTTGTTTTTTATATATAGAAACTAAAGTACTAAGAGATTATAACTTGTCAGAAGTCGTGCTGTAAGTGGTAGACCTGGGGCTTAAGCTGGGTATTATCAACTCTTAGTTTAGTGCTTTTTCTCCTTCATTAAGCTTTCTCTGCTATTAATTTCTGTAGGACTATAATTTTTTTTTTTAAGGACCTGTGTAAAGTGAGGAACTATAAATGGGGACCGAAAACAATTTAAGTACAGGAAGAATAATGGCTATCTAGAATAAGGGAGCGGGGTGGTGCAGAAGTTAAATCGAAGGCCCTAGTTTCTGTCTTTTTTTGTGGAAAACACCTAGTGTCAACATTTGGAGAAGTTCCAGTAACCCAACCTGCAGTTACTCTGTAATCTCCTAGATATTACTGATGGTGATTTTTTTTTTTTTTTTTTTTTTTTTTTTCCTTCTAAAGAGGATCTGATCTTAACAATTTTGGAGCAGTACCACAACAAAAGAAGCTGCAGGAGGAACTTTCTGACTTGTCAGCAATGGAAGATGCTTTGGATGAATTAATTAAGGATTGTGCTCAGCAGTTGTTTGAGTTAACAGATGACAAAGAAAATGAAAGATATCCTTTAAGTCTTACCTTTTCTAAATCTCTGCCTCCAAAACAAATTAAGTAGTAGGGTCAGCTTGATTTAATTTATATATTTAAGATATCAAATTAGACTTTTAGAAGTTAAAGAAAGCAAAATTTGGTATTATAGCCTTAAACATACAAAAACTGAATTGTTGACTTTAGCTTCTTTGCGTAGCATTTCTTACGTTAAATTCTGCATGACTTTGTAGTACAGTAACCAAGGTTGCTCTTTTCACTTAAGATTACAATAATGGAGTGTTCATTTCTGTTGCAGGCTGGATACTATAAATATAGTAAAATAGGGCCGGCCCGGTGGCGCACTGCGCTAGTGCGCCGCTTGGGAAGCGCGGCGGCGCTCCCACCGAGGGTTCGGATCCCACATACAGACCGGTTCCCGCTCACTGGCTGAGCGAGGCACGGGGGCAGTACTGAGGGTTGTGATCCCGTTGCCGGTCCCGGTCCGATCCGGGGGCGACACTGAGGGTTGCGATCCGTTGCCGGACACGGAAAAAAGAAAAAAGAAAAAAATATATATATATATAGTAAAATATTTATTGGCTTTTGTGAAATTCATGTTTTCCCTAATTTCTGAACTAAAGTTTATTTCTGAAGCAAAATGAATTGCCATTGTAAAGGTACTTGAACTGTCATCTGAGGCCTCAAAAGCCTGGTATTGCGGAATGTCAATACTGCTCTGAAGCTCAGTGTCTCTGGGGTCCATGGGAAGGTTTGTCTTTGGTACTAACCTTCTCCTGGGTCTTTTAGACCTTTATGCTGCTCTTTTCCTTGGGGCACCCTTTGTGAGGGTGTCACTGATTCTGAACTTTCCCTACTTCAAATTTATGTACACTGTCTATAGCAATCAAAACTCCTAGTCGTACAATACAGTTATTAGAAAGAAAAATAGAAACACTAACATTACTGTAGCCAATCAAAAAGTTTGTAGTAAAAAAAGAAGAAAAACTGAATAAATCACTTAATTTTTAAAATATGAGGCAACACAATAAAACAGGATAAAAATCATTCAGGTACTGAGCTACAAAGTAATTTTGGATGAGGGAAACTCATCATACATGACAGTCCTAAGAAACTTATTCTGTAAGTTGTTTCTACTTTTTATAGATTTTGTTTTTGTCTTTCATTTTAGGGGATTCTTATCAAAACCCTGAATATTTTTTTCCCAAAATTATAGTAAGATCTAGCAATGGATAGGGAGTAGAGTAGGAATTTGAATACCTTCATGAGTTGTATTTATGTTAGGGACTCAGACTTTATTAATAGTTTTATTCAGAAATTATCAATCATAACAGTATAGTTTAAAGGATTTCTTTGATACTGTACAACACTATAGAATCTTAAGAATTGTATATGAAATAATAAGAATTATCTGTGGAATATTTTATTCAGAAATTATCAATCATAACAGTATAGTTTAAAGGATTTCTTTGATACTGTACAATACTATAGAATCTTAAGAATTGTATATGAAATAATAAGAATTATCTGTGGAATGTTTTTTTTAATAAATGCTGTCCTTAATCGTGAGCTTTATTCCATAGAAACAAAAGCTATTCTAACATTATATTTGCATTCATGAATTATAAGAGATAAATTGTCTCCCCAATAAATAGCACTCTGCTTAGAGATCCTTGACTGATTTTTACACTAGCATATGTGACGTATCAAGATATTCATAGCATTCAAGCCTTCCATGAACAGATTGTTATTGCAGTTAAAGCTCCAGCAGAAACCAGATTGGATGTTCCAGCTCCCAGAGAAGTAGGTAGCCCTGCATTTTAACAAAGGTCTAAAGAGGGAGGCAGGCCAGCTGCTCAGGCTGCACATTCTTATAGTAACAGTAATTTAATAGCCATTGTGTACCAGGGGACTTAAGAAAGTTCATGGAAGGATTTGTATTATCTTTTAATTCTGTTTTTCTACAAACTTTTTTAAAGTACCCTTGTACCTGTTAGCTGATTCTATTCAAGGCCCGTCACACATCTGATCTGATTCTATTAAAGGCACATCACACATTTTAAACTTGTTTTGACTAACGCAAATGAAATAGTCATTATGATCATCTTCTTAAAGATGAAGAACCCATAGCACAGAAAAATGAGGTAACTTTCTCAAAATGACAGTAAGTGACAGAACCACAATTCAAACCCAGGTAGTTTGCTTTAAGTTAATTCTTGTGCTATAATAACCAAGCGTTGGCCTGTCTTGAAGTTCCAAAAGTGAGATCTGGTCTCAGCCAAGGCTCTGGGGAATTGACTTAGGAACCAAACTCATTAAAGACCAATGAATAAACTAAGTTATAAATTTAAAGTGAAAAGTAAAATTTCTGTGTAAATGAAAATATTCTTATCAGCTGCCAGCTGCTTAGCACATTCTTTCCCTTGCAGGAAAGTTTGTATTGAAAGATAATTGTCATCAGAAGGTTGCTTGATAAGGATGGAATGAGAACCAAGGAGTGTGGCCATTCTTGGGACAAACCATCAAGTCTGACAGCCTGGTAGACCCATCGGTGCTGCTAGCGAGGCCTTCTTCATTGCCCTAGGGATTTGCCTCCCTCCTGGTGAAGAATATTCTCACCACCTACCTTTCCTTTTATCCCAGCAAACCACTGTGCAAGCAAGACCTTGTGTTACTTGCCAGTGTGTCATAAACGGATTAAAGAACAGCTTGCTTTTACCTCAGTCACACTCAAATTGTGACTTTTTGGTGATGTTTCCTAGTTGTTTTATTTGTATTTAGATATGTTCCAAGTATCCAAGTAACATTTATATTTGATACAAGTTGTTTCGCAGATGTTTAAACTTTTTTTTTTTTTTTTTTTTTTTTTTTTTTGAATAAGTAACCACTAATCTTACAACACACCCTTACTTCAGGGCATGATAATCCATTCTGCAGGAACTGATGGACTTTTGATTTTTTCCCCTATGCTGTGAGCGGCTTCATGTAATTGGTAAACCTTGCTGAGCCTTTGATCATGTCTGAGCCTTCTCTTAGAGTTCCATTTAAAAGTCTGTGCACACAGGCCCTCCTGGACAGCCCTTCTCAGCAGGGGATGACAACACATTGGGTTCAGTGGAGTCTGACTCCACAGAGCTCTGTGGGCCTCTTGAAGGGGTTGGCAAACTGGCCTTCGGGTCAAATCCAGCCTGCTACTTGTTTTTGTAAATAATTTTATTGGGACATAGCCATGTGCCCATTTGTTTGGATAATTGTCTCTGGCTGCTCACACTACAGAGGCAGAGTTAAGTATTTGTGACGGGGGACAGTATGTTGCAAAGCCAAAAATATTTAGCATCTCATCCTTTACAGAATGGTTGTCAACCCTGACTTAGTGGAAAGTGAAATCCTCGGCTGGCTGTCAGTTCAGAGCAACATATTGGAGTCTCGTATTTTTTAGAAATATCTATTGAAAATTAGTTCAGGTTTACCTGTTCAAGTTTTACCATTTACCATTCAAACCAGACCTGATTTGGCACTCTAGAAGCTGAGCACAGATATTCTCTAACCCAGTTGTCTGGTACCAAGAAGCCATAGCAAGAAGGACACTTGAGGTTCTGAGACCCTTTGAGATGCTGCATCTCACCAAACTCACTGTTGAAAGATCACGGTGGAGCCAGAGGGGCAGTGATGGTGCTGATGTCTAGCTCGGACCTAACCACAAGAAAGGGGAGAAGACAGACTTGATGTTAGAATTGAGCCAGCTCCTAATGGAAAAACAAAGGAACCATTTATAACTGGAACTGTTCCTTAAGAATTTAGTATAGTTCTCAGTAGAAGCACCCAATTTCCAGATCTATTATGAAAAAAGTATTAATCCTGAGTAAATAAATCTGAAGCCAAAGGATTTAAAAATCATTAATTAGTTATAATAGTCCTTTGTGTGCAGTTCTTATTTTTAGTGTTTTAAATACAGAAAGTTTGTTTTGATTTGATCTTTTCCTCTTAGTTCTTTCAACTGGACAAAAGAATGGCTCTTCCAGTTGTCAGTACCTTGTCACTGGTCTGGAGATCCAAATACACCCGTATCACATGAGTCTGTGGGATGTTCTAAAGTTCATTGTCATCACTCCTTGAGTGGAGAAAAAGTCTCTTTAATACTGAGGTATTCACGTGATGGCTCTGAAACCATTACTACATGATCAGGTAGCTGTCTTAACTGTGTGAACTGGCCATTGGTTTAAGAACATGATTTTCTCAAATGTACAGCTAATAACATGATTTTCTCAAATATATGATAGAAAGGAAGCTACCAGAATTTAAATTTTCAGAAAGATCCCTTGAAATTTTTGCATTTCTAGTAAGTGAAAAAATATGATTAAGGAATGTTGCCATTCATGTTGATGTTTAATGTGTCCTTTGCTAGGATTCTATCACAGTTCACATAAGGAGCACCAAAGGACCTATTGATGTTTATTTGTGCGAAGTGGAGCAGGATCACTCAAGTAATAAAATGTCTGAAGATGTAGGGACCTCTTCATCTGAAAGCAAACTTCCAGAACACCCTGAGAGAGGTAAACATACCAATTATATGATTAGGAAAAATTAAGATTCTAATGATTTCTTAAGTATATATAATTTTACAAATGCATATTATGGCCTTAAGATATTTTCACTCTTCCTGTTCACAAAAACATAAGTTTAAAAAATTACAAGGTAATTCTTACTGTAGTTTAGAGTATTTCTAAAAACTTCATAGTAAATTCCAGGTAATTTTGATATCATTGAAAACTTAGGATATAGTTGGTCCCATGGTGGTACCAACTGATGGTGGTCTCTGAATAGGAAAGGCTTTCAGTCAAGCAGTGCCTCCACTCAGCCAGAAAGCCCACCTAGTGACCACCTAGCAGGGAGACTCCTACCTCCATGGATTTCAGAGAAGCAAAGGGACTAGACCTGCTTAAGGTCAGACACTCAACTCAGGCAAAAGCCCATCCCACGGCACCGCCCTGACAGGGAACAATCCTCAATTGTGCATTTCTGAGGAGCAAGGCCTCTGGGCCCACCTGGCCTCAGCCCTGCCCAAGTCCAGATCCAGCCAGTGAACACATCTGAAGCCATCGCAGTACCCAGTCAGCAGCTCCACCTGATAGCAGAGCAGAGGCCACGGCCCAGCCAGCAACAAGCTCTGCCTGCCCAGGGTCGTCACCAGCTGGCCCTTCCCAAATCACAGGCTAGAACAGTGAAGGTCTGTCCTTGCCAAAGAACACCTGTGAAGGCCAGAAGAGGGGGCTGTCTCCTCTAGACGCAGACGACAACGCAAGGACACGGATTATAAAGAATTGGGGAATCATGATGCCTCCAAAAGAAACTAATAAAGCTTTAAGGGAAGGCTCTCTACCTTCTCTGACAGGTGCTCTCAGGTACAAGCTTGAGTTCCAGTTTATTCTTGTGAAATTGAGAGAAATTAGCCTTATGCTCTTAACATGAGAAAATGGGTTCTTGACCAGAGATCCTCAGCTTGTTTTTCTTTAAAGCAGTTGAATTGTATACTGTGTTATCTCTCCGCCTTTCTCACTTCACTCAGGGGAGTTTCTGTCTCGTGTGTTCTTTTTCAGAAGAAAATCCTCCTCAGCAAAGTGAAGAATTTCTTGAAGTGAGCAACTGATAGCATTTGAGAATTCACGTATTGAGTGTTTCTGGGAACATCCGATGTGGGTAAATTATGCATCGAATCTGATTTCCAGAGCAATAAGTCATCTGTGAAGTGCTCTCGTCTCAGTAGCAGCATTAAGGCCAGTAGTATCTTTGAGTAGTAGTTCACTACTGAGATTACTGGATAATTGTGGTTTCCACAGTCGAAACAACTCTTTTTATAGTTACTCACTGCTTTTTGTCAGTGAAATAGACATCTTCCCTCCTGAAATAACGTCATCACAAAGAGTATCATGAAAGCAGACGGTCAGGCCTGAAACGGACAGTTCTTCGTGGGCTCTACCCTTTCCTTCAAGGATCATGTCGTATGTCACAAAAGAAATTGCCTTACACTGGTTCATGTTTGCAGTTAACTGCTGTACACTGGATAAGTGTACACAAGAATCTAAATGTGATGTCTTTGTATATATCTGTATAATGTTTAGATTATTATGAATTGTGTCTAAGTGACACTTTTCACCCTTGTACAGCCAAAATAATGTATATATGGAAAGTGACAAATTCTCTAATTTCCTTAGTATGTATAACTTATTAGAATCCTCTGGATGAGGGTTAAAGGAGAGTTTTTCCAAACTTCTACATGCAGAGGTATCAAATGTACTATACATTTAAGTTCATGGCTTTGAAGTATTTTAATATGGTTCCCAGTGCTGAAATTGGAGTCAGATACTTCTTAATTTCACGTTCTCTACAGAGTTACCATGTCCTGGCAGATTGGTGGCAAACCAAAGTCTTGGGGCAACTGTAGAAATGCTGTCAGGTAATAGCTTAATTCATTGTGAAACATGAATGCAATCATGGTGAAAATTGAAAACTATTTTAAGCTTTTTGCAAGCAGATTTTGTAATGTGTTTCTGTATGCAGCCTTGCTCTTCAATCAAAGGGGTTTTACTTATGATGAGTTGTAACCTGCCCTCTCTCCAGCTCTAGTCCCATGTTTCCACATATCTAGCTATTTCTACCTCATTAGGTAAGTCATTTACCACTCTGTGCCTCAGTTTACTCGGTAGTTTACCATTAGACTGTGAGCTCCTTGAGGGACTTTGTCATAATCATCGTTATATCCCAGCGCCTTGTAACATGCCTGGCCCATAAAAAGTGCTCAATAAACATTTGAACAAATCAGTGAGTGAGTCAATTGTAAAATTAGATGAATAATACCTGCTTTGTCTATCATACAGGTTTCTTCTGAGCATCGTTTAAATTCATACTATAAACCTCTCTTGCTTTCAGAGAAAGATTTGAAGCAACTTGAAATTAAAACCATGTATAAAAAGATTTAAAATAGGAATCCAAAATCAAAATATTAAAAAATTAATGCTAAGTGTTTAGTATTCACATACCTCTGAGCTCCAGTGGCTTTTGCCAGTCTTGTCCCTCTGTTGCACACTGGCCCCCTCGCCCTGGCAGGCTCTGCTGGTTTCTTTCTGCAGATGCTGCTCCTCTCTGGAGTGGGCAGCCTCAAGGCTTTTCCTCGCTCTGTTTTCTACAAAAAGTATTTGAAATTAGCCAAAGGAAAGCTACAGGGGGCACAATTTATCATTGCACAAGTTGATGGTATGGTTTGACAAAATAG